TGATGATGACGATGATGATGATGATGTTGATGATATTGATGATGATGAGGATGATGATGATGATGACGATGATGATGATGGTGATGATAAACTCGCTAGCATGAACGCCCTGTAACAAGAGAATTACTGTCCAAACGTATTTAACAAAATTTCTCACGGGATATGCGTAGGCGAATCCTCCCAAAACTTTCGGTTGTCCCTCCCTGGGCGATTTTCAAATTAAATATGCATAACTGAACCATTGCAGCGAATAGATGATTCAGTTGGTTGCAACAAACCCACGGTAAACCGGGACATATTGATTTGCATGAACTGATTCCTGAATGAGGTCCCAGAACCCAATTGATTACAAGATAGAACCTTAAGTTTGCAGCAGAAGTATCCTGAGTTGCTAAGGCTGGTCAGAATCGTGCAAACGAAATAATTTGTACCACTTAAAACTTTATCTAAGCAGCAGATCCACGTTAAACTCGACAGGAATCACTTAGTCTTCTTACTGATCAGGGAAATCGCTATATCCATCACGAAACTATACCACTTCATTGCTCCTCGCGGTTTTGTGTATCTAGATGCGTGTACTCCCTGTACTAATTTCTTTCAAATGCCTCCGCATTTGAGGTCATAATCATGTCTTCCAGTGGAGTCCTCTGTTCATTTCCCTGCTTAGTTGTCCACTTTTGAAAAAAATACTTCCCTCTATTTTCATGAAGGAAACTACTCACAAGGTTGCTGAAGACTCTTTGACAGCCCACGATCGGTTTCACCCTTCTTGGGACTCATCAGGTAGGCGCAGTCCCCGAGTTTCCATTCTACATATTCGAGATATCGCAGTGTATTTTCATAAAGAAAACTACTCACAAGATTGCTGAAGACACTTCGACAGCCAACGACCGGTTTCGCTCTTCGTTCGACTACAGGTAGGCATAATCCTTGAGTTTAAGTCAAACTCATTTACTACTTCAATCCAAACTGCCTGAAGCATCATTATAAACGAGAGATTCGGCTGGGTTCCAGGTAGGCTCAGTCCCCGCGATATCTCGAATATCGTGCCAACTGAAACATGAGGCGGCCTGTGTGCAGCACATGCAGTTGTACAACATCGTAAACGAGAGATTCAGTCGAATCCCTCGTGGAAACCTAATCCCTTCCAATACTTATGTTGCGTTATGAAATCTGTTTAGATCATCCACGGGTAACGTTTTGTGATAAGACTTGGGAGGTCTCCGAATATATGTATAAAACCTCCAAGTTAATGAAAACCAATCACGTAGACTGGGCTTAGCGAACATCATTAATCTTCTTGCGCATGCGTCTAATCCAATTACTTCCAATTTGTTCTCACACGAATTGTCGCGTATGACTCATTTCATCATCAAATCACGCGGATTGTTCTTCTCCCCCTCAAAATCACGTAGACTGGGCTTAGCGAACATCATTAATCTTCTTGCGCATGCGTCTAATCCAATTACTTCCAATTTGTTCTCACACGAATTGTCGCGTATGACTCATTTCATCATCGAATCATGCGGATTGTTCTTCCTCCCCCTCAATCTGGCATAATCCAGGAGATTCACGCAATCAGATTTCTCGTCGGTTGGTATCGATTTTTGGAGACCGACCTTGAATAGCTGATGAAGTCTGTGTCAAAACTGAACAGTTGTCAGTTAAGTGGTAATCAGAGGTGGCTGTGGAATACACTAAGGCATATTGATTAAGTCGAAGCTGTAACTCAGTACATCTCCTCGATTGAAACTCGTGTTGAAGGCGATTCTTCGAAAAAAAACCAGAAGCAGCACACCCCGCTTGATCTCAACCGTTTTGGTGTCAACTGGGGGCTGATGTTTTCTATTCCGCGTCAGTGGCCCTCGGTGCAAAATACACCTTAAAGGCCTGTCCAAAGTCAAATGATAAATCAGAAACCAAAGTGGGTATTCCTTGATACAGTCTATGATTGACACACTTCACCAATCAGTGAGTGAGCTTCGCAAACTCTGGACCAGTTCCTGCTAACGAAGATTCGGGCATCTCAGTTTTATACGGAATATCTGACACTGCGCCACTGGGAACTAAATGTATTCAGTCGGAAGGAAAGCCGAATGAGTGGAACAAAATTCTAACCAAATTGATCTGAAATTCACTGGGAAACCAAAATATCTTTAGGCGGGGTGGTATCGTACTTTTGTAGTCCAAGTGGACCATTTGTTGTGGACGAGTATCTTCTGTCGAGGTTTGTATATTTTGTGAATTTATATTAATAGTACCGTATGGAAACCCAGCTTCGACTTTGTTTTCCCCTTCTTCCGGAGCTTCTGATATTATGTGTCACTCGAAGATACCTTTTGGCTACAACAACACTCCACAGCAGATACTCGTGCACCATAAAAGTACAAGCCGAATGAACAAACAGGCACCCACGTGAGACAGTTACATGTGCACAAGGTCGGCCACAAAATGGCTGGATGACCTCAAGGTCAAAGGTAAAGACAAACAAACGCCAGTTCACACACACACGCACTAAACTCAAAAATGGGGCGGGGGTTACAAATAGGGACAGAAGAAACGTGGGGAATTTCAAATGTCAAACCAATGGACGATACAAGCTGGACGATACACTCAAATAGCATCGTTCCAGTAAGTTGCAGTCGAACGCTCTCCTCAAATTTCTTGTTGCATGAACTCGATATCCGTCTGATTAGAATCAGTCACGTGTGTCTTCGAATAATCGGTCAGTCTGATGCATTTATCGGGATGTACTCGTCCATGAAAATTGGAGCGTCGACAAAAGCAACTAGCTTTCTATCCAGAACCAAAAGTCCGAGAAATATAGCTGATTTCGTTGCTGAGTTGTGGTCACCTCAAACACGGATGTATGTGAGGAAACGTTTGTGCAAAGAGAACAAAAGGTCAGCTATCTGCACGTGTCGCTTAACATTTATCAAAATGGATTTTGGAACAAATGATCTCAAAAGATCTCAATGAAACATCTCAAGGGCTCCTCGTTGTTTAGGAAAATGGACCACATCCCAGGAACCTTCGTCCCTTGTAGTTTCCAGCAAAACCAGTGGTCACCAGGTGACTGAATACGAACCAACTCCATCAAAATAGAACCTCATGGAACAATCTTTTGTGGTCCTCTCTTCCTCATCACACTCACAGTCTCACGTCTTGATCTCTTTTCCCCAGTTTGGACGCTTTTCTCGCCCATAGGTGCTTTTCGATTTGATCACTTGACTCGAATTCTTCCGTACCAGTCATTCCAACGTTCCTTGCAAGTGGCATTTTATCCGATCAAATTGCAGTTTTGGAAGTGAAAACCAGCTATCTTTCCACTCACAGCTGACTTTATGGTAAGCATACAGATACCACGCAGAGGCATCTTGAAAGCAATTTCACGAAAGAAAAAAGACCTGTGTGAATAACACGTTATATGACCATGGCAAATCCCATCATCATCATCATCATCATCATCATCATCATCATCATCATCATCATCATCATCATCATCATCATCATCATCATCATCATCATC